CTTGCGTAAATGCGTTGCATACGGCTCTCCGAACGTGGCGTAACCATGTGCGAGTCTTGAAAGTACGGTGAAGCTTCGGTAGTGCCAAAGGCACCACGCTCAGCTCCACGCTTGGTCGGAGGAGTACGAACGCGTCGTTGGGGCGTCGGCGGCAGTGGAATCTTAGACGGATCTTCATCTTGAATCATCGGTCGACTCACAGGCTGCTTTCCGGCATTGATGCCAACAGCGCCAAACGCCTTCCGAAGCTTCTTCTTCCATTTCTGGAGAGCAGCTCCGGCTTCATGTGGACTCCAATCCTGGAGCGACATCGTCGATGGGTACGTCTCGTTCTCGAACCCCAGCGACAACAGTAGCGAAACTGAATCCTCGGCAACTTGACTAGTCGAAACCGAGTTGACTGGGTATTGAAGTTCCTGTGCAAGCGCAGGCCAGTCGGCCTTTTTCTTGGGGATGGGCTTGAACAGCTGCATCCACTCATCATTCTGCATCAGCGCTTGTACGCGGTCGAAAACGCGCTTGGCGGCTGGTGTATCACCGTTGATAGGTGAACGAGGTGCCTTCAGCAGTGCTGAATGCTTTGCACTCGCCACCGAAGGTTTAAAACCCTCGGTCCCATCGTCATAACCATCATAGGCCGGTTCCGGTCCCGCAACATCATCGAGCTCGTCGGCGAGGTTCCTTGAAAGGGACTTGGTCGCCCCGCTCAGCCCCGATGATAGCGTGGCCGTCTCCGGCGTCGCTGCGCCTGGCTCTGGAGCCGGCGTCTTGTCTTCGTAATCTTCATAATCGTGGGCGTCAGGACCGATGTCCGCTTCGTCGTCGAAGCTCACTGAAAGCTCGGTGGCGGCTGCAAAGCGTGCAGCCGGGCTTGAACTCTCGTTGCGAGCCCCGCCAGACTTGGCAGGCGTAACTGGTACCGTCAGTTGTCCTTTCGCCATGTTTCTTGTCTTTTTCTTGTTCTTCTTCTCTTGGTAGCTCGTAAACTGGAAGACCATACAAACAGTTCACAATGGTCACAATCTGTTCCCGGGTCGCGGCACCAGTTGTGGTGTTGGAAATCCCACGTGAACTCTAGCTACAGATGTAGTTAGGATGTTCCCACAACAATACGTCTACTAGGATAGTAAACGATCGTTCGGGCGGACCTGAAGACCCCAGTTCTGCCCTTGCACCGGGACAAACTGGACCTTGTAAACTACTTATATAGGCCAACCAGTAAAATAAGAACACGCTACTAGCACGAGCAAAGCTAGCAGGTGTTTTGAATCCTCGTGGTCCCAACAGCGGAAGGGTACCAGGCACGGGTAAGCCTTTTACGAGATCACCGAGTGTTCAACACTCGGCTGGAAGAAATAAAAGGGAGGCAATTCAAGCACTCCCAGTCGTGCAAATAGGCAACAATAAGCCGTCACGTAAAACCTCCCGATAATAATCGGCCAATACACAAAGTCTCTTGGCCTTGCCGGATGAACCCTCGCTACAGAGCTTCGAGTTCACCGACAGGCATAACACACTCAAACAAGCTTGACCTGACGCTTACCTTGAAGCCGGACGTCGCTCTGTGTGCTTGAGTGGAAATTCTGTTCTGTATTTAAGCTTACCCTTTCGGGTCTATTCCTAATAAGAAGTCCTAATCAAGTATACAAATATCAAGTGAACAATGATCCGTTATGGATCTTCTTGCATGCCAAGCGTCGTCTGCACCGTCGCATGAGCATCTTTAACGGTCCGCGCCCTGTCCCAGACGGTGAACGTGTCTTCCAAGGGTCGCTGAGTATTCCGCGAACTCATCCCAACCGCCACTGAGGGTTCGTACCGTAGATGGTCCGCTGAATGCGAATCCGGCCAATCCATTATTAATAATAAGGACAGCAAAGAATTCAAGGACATATGGTCGTATCGTGTAGTTATTTCTCCGTGGTTGCTGAGTATCTTGGGCGACGTAGGAGGGATCCGTACAAGGTAGATCAAACCAGGAGCCCCCGACGAAGGAAGGCCGGGGACAGGTCAGGGAGTAGGATAGGATCTAGGACCTCATGATTTGTGGGGTTTACGTAGAGGGTGAGTCGTAGCGTCGCAGGGCGGTC